TTTTTAAAAATCTGTTCAAGTAACAGGAAACCACTGTTTAGAAGTCAACTTAATGCCCACTCTTTACCTTTCACTGTTTTAAGAGAAAAATATGAGGTTTGTGGTGTCCAAAATTAAATAGAACCAAACAATATGAAACTAAGTTCTCACGTTAAGACATTGTTTTATGAGATGTTCAAAGTATTTCCCTAGCTTTTGTTTGACCTGCAGAATTGGAGATGGCTTACCTCCCTATAACTTCAAGTTTGTTTTACAAAGCTTTGAAAAGTAAAACAGATTTCATTTTCAGACACAATAAAAAATTAATTTGAATAGCAAAATAACTGCTTTTAAATGTACAGTAGTATCCATTCTAAAAATGAAACCTAAATCTGTTAGGAAAAATTTTCAAATAATGCTTATTAAATTCTCCAGTAGTATTTGAAATAAAAATCTACTCTAACTTCTACGAAAAGATCTACTTATACGACTTAATTTCCATTTCTCTGATTCTAATTTCACTTGCAACCTGCAGACCTTCATTTGGTTTACCAGATGGGGAACCCCAGCTCCCTCATAAATATTTTTTGAGAAGTTGATCAGGGTGGGACACACAAAAACATGGCTTCCCTGGCAAGTACTGCCGTCACTATTTGACTATATTTTAATACTGTTACTCCAATTCACACAATGGATTTTCTAGGATGGTAAAATGAACCTGGTTAGCTAGCTTTAGATGAGTACATTAACATGACCAGACTCTGGAATAAAGGTGATGAACTCCAGGATAAAAACTAGGAAAAAAAAAATCTTTCACAGCTATAAATCTTCACAACTCCTCTCTACTAATAGTCATAAACCAGGGGAAGTAAATGGGAGTAGGGAAGGTACACAAGAGCACAGCCAAAAGGAATACTGCAAAATGCTTATCACAAAAACTTCCTGCAATGCTGGAACTGGATGCATCTGTGCCTATTTTCCAGGAAAGAGCTCATCTTGGTGTTTTCCTATCCCCAATTTTTTAAGCACAGAAATTTAAGAGTTAGTGGGTGGGGGATTGGGGAGGAAGCAGGACTATGGTTTACAGAATCTGGTCAAATTAAGTGGTCCCATTGATTTTTCTGGTACATTCCCCATCCTTGATTCACGAAGACCTTATTCTCTTTAAAAGCTCAGAAACACATTCTCTGCCTGAAATGATGAACTGGCAGCTAAAAGGTCAACTTCCTTGCTTTGAAAACTCTCAGGAAGCTACAGATGTTTCTAGGAATTGTTCCATTTTATACCCTATTAACCTCTCTCCTTATCAATCTACTAACCTCCTCTCTGAATTTGATAAGCACCAAACTATGAAGGTTTTCCTCATATTCCCTCTCCTCAGTTCTGTGAATTGATTTGCTGTCTATAATGACATTGACTTCTTCACTACTCACTCCAAAAACTTTGCTCTTTTGGAGTGATGTGTTCTGTCAAGTAGATTAAAATAAAATACATCATCTCATCTGTTTACAAGGAATATACAGAATAACAGGGGCTGGAGGTACAAAACACAGACACTGACATTTTGGTCATACAAAATATAAAGAAGTACCCAATACTGACAATTTTTGTAAGAAGTTGCACATTTTGCTATTTCTTTAGCATTTCCCCACATTTTTTTCCCCCTCTGTGGATCCTCTGGAGTTAAGATTGAGCATCCTCTGCAGTGTTTCTGAAATTCATTACATGATTGAAACATACTGATGGAATTATTTTTCTGTCCAAAGCAATGAGTGCTATACATGAATGTTTTCCTCACATATATTAATAACATTTATTTACAGTGTAAGCTTTCTGATGCTAAGGGCTGAGATGTGATTAAAGGCTTTGCCATATTATCACATTCAAGATGTTCTCTTCTGGAATGTTCTGATGTACATAAGATGTGGATTCTCACCTATCAAACATATTGACCTCTCTGTACATATTTAGCAGTTTCACTTTTACGCCTTTAATAAAATACTAAGTGCCTTACATATCAAGATGCCTCATGCATCTTTATTCCTAGGCTTTCGCCTTGCCTGCCAGGCTGGATTAGGGACAAATACCACACAACTTAAAAGAATTTTACTTCTCTTCCCAGCAAGGTTAAGGTTATTTTAAAAAACCTTTTGAAAACTTCCATTAGGTCAACTAACATACTACTGGTTAACTATAGTGTATTTAAAGTTAGCAGACTTCAGCCAGGCAAGAATGTTTGAATGACTACCCTGAGCACTAGTTAGATGTTGTAAACCTTTTTGACCATGACCTAATTACACTTTGCACTGAGCAGCTGATAAATGCAATGCAAATGGTTTTAATTCAACAGCTGTAGCCTGTTTTCTTCAGAAAATGTATCTTCAAATAGCTGCTTCAAGGAGTGCATCTGCTGAAGATCTGAGGCAATTGCAGTGGCTATCCCACAGTCAGTACGACGTCCCAGAAAAATGGGAATTAAATGTGGGGGCACAGATTATAGTTAACTTGCATTTAAAAAAATGGCTGAATTACATCAGCATGTGGTTGTGGCTAAAAAAGCCAATGTGGAACCAACCAAAGTTCTTTTCCTCTTAAGAACAGTCAGTGCTTTGATCAGTGCCTGGAGTTAAGCACCTCACTGCTTTGTTGCTTCCCAGCAACAAGTCTTTGCTCAAAAGCACTGGCAGTTTACCAGACAACCATCACTGTGGCTCACTCTTTGAAGAAAATCCCGAAAGCATTTCTTCCACCTTCACTTTACTATAAAATGTTACTTAGGTATACTCTTCTGGAGTATCATTTGTTTTTCTCAAATTGGATGGACAGAAATATTCTGGTTACCAGCCGACTTCCTTGGAGTTTCCTTCTCCAGGCAACACTGATGAAACGACTTAGAAACAACAGGGAAGCTGTGGTTGGTCCAACTTATGGAGAGGCCAAAGAATTACTGCTGTCCAGAATTTTAGTTTGGTCTGGAGCTGAGACCACAGCTGCTCCCATCTGACTGGCTCCCCATAAAGCCATGGGCTTGAGTTGTTGGTTAGGGATCAAAATGATGACAGCTTTAGTTCTGTTTCTCGACGGGAAATCTCAAACTCTATGTGGGGTTCTGTTCTGGGGTTAGTCTTCAGGTGTTTGTAGTCTATGCGTCTAAGTTCTTACAGAGCTGTCCACAATCAGGACAATCAGGTGCATGCTCTCATGAGCATAGTCATCCCTGAGTCCCAGATGACTACCTATGTAGCCCACGATACCTGGGTCTCATGTCTGTTTATCTGAAAAGTCTTTCTAATAGCTTCCCAGCAGCCAATTGCATCCTCCTGCACAGATGATGGAAAAGATCAAAGTTTCATAACCTCACCTCTGTGATGAGAAAAGACACTGTGCAGTATGACTATGATACAACCAACCAAATCTTAGCACATTGGTGAACTTCTCAGAGAAACACATTTAGTAACTGCCAGCTAATGTCATATGCTTTTGTGGAGTTTCTGCAAAGTGTGGGGGAAAAAACACTCCCTACAACTTTCTTTTTTCTGAAAAGCAATAAAAATTACATCTTCTGAACTATATTAAGTTACAAATGATTCAGAAAGTGCCCAAATCATTGTGTAGTTCAGCAGTTGACTGAAGAGAATTCTGGCTAAGATCTTTGCCATAGAAAGATGTCGAAAAATGGCCTTATTAAAGTTTTTGTATTTTTAAGATGACAACAGAGTCATTTCTGACACTTCATGGTATTTATTCACTGATCCGTGTTTAGAAAAAGTCTATGCAGGTGGCTAACCAGCATCTTTCTTTTCTATTTAGGACTAAAATAGAATCAGACCCTAGAGCTTTAGCATGCCTCAGGCTCTAAAGGTCCTCTTCAAAATTTGGGCCAGGCTACCATATTTCAGGTACTCATGATTCACAGGGCTTTAACATAAATGTAAAAGTCCTGTTAGAAGTCAGTCATAATGAGTGCCTCTTATGTGTTCAACACTGTGTCCAGTGCTGTGAGAGATATAAAAATATCCCTTGGTGATCAAAGCATCTCTTTGGGGGCGGAGGGGAATGAAGACTTTCACATACACAAAACAATGAAGGATTAAAAGACACTATGTAATTAAGTGCTAACTTGTGGAGAAATGCATTTAGGGGTGTGATAGTGCTTTAGGGATTTCTTCCAGAAGGGAGATGTGTTTTGAATCACTGTTGCCATTTCAGTAGAATTTATCTCAGCGATGAGGATAAAGCAATCTACATTTGTGGCAGTCCTTTGGAACTGTAGACTGGTGCACAAACCCTCTCTTTAGGAAGAGATAGAAATCTTTGGTTTGATACTGATCAGCACAGTCCTAGATTTCTATAGCTTTGGTAGGCTACCAGTGTCATATATATAATGTATTGTATATATAACTAGTTTGAGCAGCATGTCCCAATGTAGTTTTTAACCATACTTCTTTTTTGAGAAATAAGGTACAGCAAGATGTTAGCCAAGCAGGGCTTGTTTGCAGCAAGCAGCTTTTAACCTCAGTTATCATTTTCATGGAGCCAATCTTAATCTTTCAATTCTATACTGTGGTTGCTGAGAGTCCAAGAGCACCTTAAAGGTATCCTCATTACCGAAAAGCTTGACAATTACTGTGTGTGTGCTTTTACTCATGTGGAAATTCCATGTGGCTTATCCACAGGACTAGCTTTTCCCTGCAGGGACTGTGGGGAAGAACTACATGCCCACAGACTATGCAAAGGCAGAACACTGCTCATCTAACTATAAGGATCCTTAAGTGTGATTTTTAAAAATCTGTTGAGGATGTTTTTTTCCCTTTCATGGGCACACTTTTCTGAAATAATTTTGGAAACAAAAGGGGAAATGGCTTGTTGACAAATTCTCACTTTACACACAGCTTTTCAGGAATGCTCCAAACGCATCAAGGGAGGCTGGACTGTACTCGGAGGCTCGCTCTCTGGTATGGATTCTGTGGTGCAGAGTGAGGGTTGAGCTCCGGGTGAAGGCCTTGCCGCACTTGGTGCACTTATAGGGCTTTTCGCGGGTGTGAATTCGCCGATGCAAAATAAGGTATGAGTTTCGGTTGAAAGCTTTTCCACATTCACTACATTCATAGGGTTTCTCCCCTGTGTGGATTCTCTGATGTTTTGTAAGGTCTGAGCTCTGGCTGAAGGCCTTTCCACACTCATTACATTCATAAGGTTTCTCTCCAGAGTGGATTCGCTGATGCAGAATGAGATTTGAACTATGACTGAAGGCTTTGCCGCACTCATTACATTCATGAGGTTTTTCTCCTGTGTGGATTCTCTGATGCAGGACAAGGTTTGAGTTCAGACTGAAGGCTTTCCCACACTCACTACATTCATAGGGCTTTTCTCCAGTGTGGATGATTTTATGGCGAATAAGGCTTGAACTCCTTGTGAAGCATTTACCACATTCATCGCATCTATGAGACTTTGTTCCTGTCGGAACTTCTTCAGGGGTGTTAAAGTTGGAACTCAGACTGAAGCTTCTTCCCAATCCTTTACCTTTCTCCCTGGGACCTCTCTCTCCCGTGGTGGGTTTTTTTTCCTTGACTGTAGCTGGCCCCGAATCTCTCTTTTCTCTTCACTTTGTAGTCTATGCGTCTAAGTTCTTACAGAGCTGTCCACAATCAGGACAATCAGGTGCATGCTCTCATGAGCATAGTCATCCCTGAGTCCCAGATGACTACCTATGTAGCCCACGATACCTGGGTCTCATGTCTGTTTATCTGAAAAGTCTTTCTAATAGCTTCCCAGCAGCCAATTGCATCCTCCTGCACAGATGATGGAAAAGATCAAAGTTTCATAACCTCACCTCTGTGATGAGAAAAGACACTGTGCAGTATGACTATGATACAACCAACCAAATCTTAGCACATTGGTGAACTTCTCAGAGAAACACATTTAGTAACTGCCAGCTAATGTCATATGCTTTTGTGGAGTTTCTGCAAAGTGTGGGGGAAAAAACACTCCCTACAACTTTCTTTTTTCTGAAAAGCAATAAAAATTACATCTTCTGAACTATATTAAGTTACAAATGATTCAGAAAGTGCCCAAATCATTGTGTAGTTCAGCAGTTGACTGAAGAGAATTCTGGCTAAGATCTTTGCCATAGAAAGATGTCGAAAAATGGCCTTATTAAAGTTTTTGTATTTTTAAGATGACAACAGAGTCATTTCTGACACTTCATGGTATTTATTCACTGATCCGTGTTTAGAAAAAGTCTATGCAGGTGGCTAACCAGCATCTTTCTTTTCTATTTAGGACTAAAATAGAATCAGACCCTAGAGCTTTAGCATGCCTCAGGCTCTAAAGGTCCTCTTCAAAATTTGGGCCAGGCTACCATATTTCAGGTACTCATGATTCACAGGGCTTTAACATAAATGTAAAAGTCCTGTTAGAAGTCAGTCATAATGAGTGCCTCTTATGTGTTCAACACTGTGTCCAGTGCTGTGAGAGATATAAAAATATCCCTTGGTGATCAAAGCATCTCTTTGGGGGCGGAGGGGAATGAAGACTTTCACATACACAAAACAATGAAGGATTAAAAGACACTATGTAATTAAGTGCTAACTTGTGGAGAAATGCATTTAGGGGTGTGATAGTGCTTTAGGGATTTCTTCCAGAAGGGAGATGTGTTTTGAATCACTGTTGCCATTTCAGTAGAATTTATCTCAGCGATGAGGATAAAGCAATCTACATTTGTGGCAGTCCTTTGGAACTGTAGACTGGTGCACAAACCCTCTCTTTAGGAAGAGATAGAAATCTTTGGTTTGATACTGATCAGCACAGTCCTAGATTTCTATAGCTTTGGTAGGCTACCAGTGTCATATATATAATGTATTGTATATATAACTAGTTTGAGCAGCATGTCCCAATGTAGTTTTTAACCATACTTCTTTTTTGAGAAATAAGGTACAGCAAGATGTTAGCCAAGCAGGGCTTGTTTGCAGCAAGCAGCTTTTAACCTCAGTTATCATTTTCATGGAGCCAATCTTAATCTTTCAATTCTATACTGTGGTTGCTGAGAGTCCAAGAGCACCTTAAAGGTATCCTCATTACCGAAAAGCTTGACAATTACTGTGTGTGTGCTTTTACTCATGTGGAAATTCCATGTGGCTTATCCACAGGACTAGCTTTTCCCTGCAGGGACTGTGGGGAAGAACTACATGCCCACAGACTATGCAAAGGCAGAACACTGCTCATCTAACTATAAGGATCCTTAAGTGTGATTTTTAAAAATCTGTTGAGGAAGTTTTTTTCCCTTTCATGGGCACACTTTTCTGAAATAATTTTGGAAACAAAAGGGGAAATGGCTTGTTGACAAATTCTCACTTTACACACAGCTTTTCAGGAATGCTCCAAACGCATCAAGGGAGGCTGGACTGTACTCGGAGGCTCGCTCTCTGGTATGGATTCTGTGGTGCAGAGTGAGGGTTGAGCTCCGGGTGAAGGCCTTGCCGCACTTGGTGCACTTATAGGGCTTTTCGCGGGTGTGAATTCGCCGATGCAAAATAAGGTATGAGTTTCGGTTGAAAGCTTTTCCACATTCACTACATTCATAGGGTTTCTCCCCTGTGTGGATTCTCTGATGTTTTGTAAGGTCTGAGCTCTGGCTGAAGGCCTTTCCACACTCATTACATTCATAAGGTTTCTCTCCAGAGTGGATTCGCTGATGCAGAATGAGATTTGAACTATGACTGAAGGCTTTGCCGCACTCATTACATTCATGAGGTTTTTCTCCTGTGTGGATTCTCTGATGCAGGACAAGGTTTGAGTTCAGACTGAAGGCTTTCCCACACTCACTACATTCATAGGGCTTTTCTCCAGTGTGGATGATTTTATGGCGAATAAGGCTTGAACTCCTTGTGAAGCATTTACCACATTCATCGCATCTATGAGACTTTGTTCCTGTCGGAACTTCTTCAGGGGTGTTAAAGTTGGAACTCAGACTGAAGCTTCTTCCCAATCCTTTACCTTTCTCCCTGGGACCTCTCTCTCCCGTGGTGGGTTTTTTTTCCTTGACTGTAGCTGGCCCCGAATCTCTCTTTTCTCTTCCAGTTTTCTCCTCAGGATTTCTTTGCTGCCTTTCTGCTGTTCTACTCTGCTGTTCACGTTTTTCTCCAAAATCTTTCTGAATTCTTCCTCTTGTCTCCGCATGTGATGTTGAGTCTTCTGCAATTTCAGCCTTGGAGGTTGACTCCTCATTCTCATTCCTGTTTTCACAACCTAACATAACAAATAAAAATACAAATAGTACCTTTTACTTTTCAATCTATACGTTAATCAAGTAACACTGTTTTCCAGAAAGCTCCCACATGCCTGCAAAATAACTTCACAATATTAATCGATAAAATAAGGGAAAAAATAGAGAAAACAGGGAATACAGTTGGGAAATAAGAGAGCAGGCAAAGAGTGGAAAGGGCAACAGAAGGAGTGTGCAGAGAGGATGGGAATGAACAAACGCACAGTAGGGGACGAGCAGAGGAAACAGAACCAGTTAAGGAGGGAAGGGATGAAGAATTAAGGAACATAAGCGGTCAGAATTCAGTTTTATTATTTGGTCACCCAATAATTAATTCGAAGGAACAAATATACATTTAGAAAATCAGGTTCCATTTCTAATATATTTATGAGCTTAAATAGAGAATGGGCAGATCTTTCCTAGAAAATGGTAAATGGCATTAGCAGAAATAAAGGAATATAGTTAATAAAGAAAAAGCGAAAACTCCATTCTGTGAGATTTTTATCAATGAGATGGTTCATGGGCAAAACATGCAGCTCTGAACTTGGCAGGTTATGTGGCCCTTCAGACACAAAAAATAGTTTCTTTCTAGTAGGGAGAGCAGCATAAGGCTGACAATGCTCAACAGAAATGAGGAGAGGGTAAAGAAGTTGGTTAAGGCATTCGTAAACATAAATAATACTTTCAATGAAAACCAACTAAGAATAACTGAAGACAAAAAAAAACCCCTGAAAACAATCCCAGAGATAGTCCGTGAAGGAAATACTAGAAGAAAACAAAATTTTACAAATGCAGAGCTTATCTTCTCATTTTAACATTCAGCATATTAAAACACTGAACTATATTTTTATATGGACTGCAACAGTCACTTTGTTTTTAAGTACAGATTAAAACTTGTTCAATAAACATATACTATTTGATATGTGTTTACATTTACCTAGGAAAAAACCCCCCAAATATCCCAACTCTACTTTTTACTTATCTGGCCTTAAGAAACCTGTCCAAGAAGGTCTGCAGTATGCCAAACAGCCCGCTGAATGTAACTCCTGAGGGAGCTGAACAACATCTAACCCCTGACATTACTGATGAAATCGCCATAAATACTGAACCGATCTTAAAAAAGAGGAAATTGGTCTACTTTTTTTGAATTCCAGATAGTTAAGGTCCTTCACTATCTGGATAGTTCTCAGGCTGTTCCCAATTTTTTTTTCCGTTATGGAGTATGTAATACCCAGCTCATAAACACAGATCAGTTCCTTGGCTTAATTTTCATCTAGTCCAAAGAGCAAGTATCAAGAAACCATAAACCCCAGTTATCTCAATGGTTCAAAACAAAACCTGACATTTCTTTAGAACATCCTTTCTTCATGAAGTCTTCCTTCATTCGCCATCCCGCTGCCCTCCCCAGGCAGAAGCCTCACTGTGAACTCTCCTATGACAAGACTTAGTTCAGAGCTTCTTTGCAGTACTGTCTCCCAGAGGTTGAGATCTACCAGAGACAAATGGGAATGTTTGTCAACTGTGTCACTCTGTTTTATCTGATTTTTGCCTCTTAGGATTTGTTTTTACTACACACCCAGGAACCAGAGCTCTTCACAGATTACTAGTAAGTTTGGAAATTGGAAATCTTGAACATGAGAGGTACAGGTGCAAGTTCATAGAATTATGCAAAGCTGTCACAGAGCGGCACTCAGAGGATGGAAGAAGACAGCCCACGGACGGATGCTTGCTTGGTAGGTTCAGAAATGTGGTATCAGGTTAGGATTAGATCGATGATCAATTCTCATCTGGTCCTCTACACTAGGAAATACAGATACTCCCCACCAGAGGCACCTAAATCGTAACCTACGACGGGTGGAGCAGAATCCTCCCAGGTAATGGAATAGTGGAAGAGATGAGGACTCAGACTACAAGAGTATTTCTGATTTCAAACAGCAAAAACTATCTAGAGGTAAAAAACCCACGTGGAATAAGTGAGTCACAGCCCCAGGCTTTTGGGGTTACATGAACACAAATTTTCTCATTTTCTATCTGGTCTGAGGAAAGGGGCTCAGTAGTCTCTAAATCCTGTCAACACTCAACTAAACACATCAGAGATCTGAAAACTAACAACAACAAAAAAAGAGTCAAAACAATCTTATCAGACAATAATCCTGCATCAGTCTTACCCTGGGAAAACACGTTCCCATAATTCTCCTGCCTGTTGTCCCTACTGAGATTCCTCCGAGCCAGGTTCTGACATCCCCATTCCTCCAGGATGAGAGACACGGCCATGTCCTCGATCTTCACCATTGCCTGAAATAATATGAGATCCCCACACTCAGTTTTCCCAAAGCTCAGGGACAAACCCACTGCCCAAACCTGGAGTTAGGGACAGAGGTGACTGCAAACCTACAGGATGCTGGGAAAGAAACAGTGACCATGCCAGGCTCTGGTGGATTGGGGTGGGTGGGTGGTTGGGGCTATTCTGTGGGCAGGGATATCAAGAGTGAGTGTCCTGGGTGGAGACTGCTAAAAGAGCTCCAGGAAGAAAGGCAGGTACGAGGGACTCAGGAGGGCAGAGGGGCCCACAGCTCACCTGGGAATCTGCTGTGAATAGTGCAGATGCCATCGCCTGGTCTCTGGGACTCCCCTCGTGATGAGGGGCAGGAACATGGGTGGCAGGGAGAGCTGAGGGAGGAGAAAGGGGCTGTGAGTTAAACCAGCTCTGCTTTGGGCCTCCCATCAAAGAAGGGCCCAGGGACACTCTTTTTCTTGCACCACCATGTTCAATGTTTAACTACAGAATAGAGAACTAGAAAGAATATAAATATATAAAAAAGTGATCTCTATTTTTCTAAGACTTCTATTCTTAAGCAGGAGTCACAAGGAGTCATAAAAATAAGTCCTTAAAATCGCTTGGTCTAATCCCTTTGTTTTAAAGAAGCGGAAACTGAAGACCTGAAAGGGCAAATGACTTGTCTAATGTCACACGGTTTAGGATGGCAGAGCCAGATCTAGAATCCAGGTTCCTACTCTCAGTTACATAAGTGGGTAACACTCAGCCCGTGATTCAAGCCTGGCTTAAAGTTTAATTTCCTCTAGTCCAAGGAACAAGTACCAGGACATCAGAATTCCATTTATTTGTGAAAAATCCAACAGAGGTTTAAAAATCTTTAGTAGTAATATCTTGAAACACAAGATAGAAAGGGGGTCTTCTTACTTCTGGGTTAAGTTTTGTCATTTTTTGTCCCTCTACTTTTCTCCCTCACTTATCCAGTTTTTTGATAAAATGTATACATGGTTCAAATGTTAATGAGACATTTATAAGTATAAAGGTATGGGCTGACACTCATCTAATAAAAGTTATTTATAATGTATCATATGATCAAACTAAATGCAATGGGTAAGAACAATTAGAAAAATTTTAAACTGTAAAATTAAAATCCCCCTTTGCCAAGTAATATTAGATCTGGAAATGTTACAGATGTTACTGAGCTGCAAAGATATTAGAGAAATAAATTTGAACCTGAATTACTAAACTTGTAGCTATTTCAGATGGTACAAAAATAAGATAAGCAAAAGCACTTTAACCTTCCAAGAGTTAGGTAACACTCTGGAAGATGAATAGCATGAAGAAGAAATTGAGAATAAAGGCATATGCCTCAGCTGGTTGAAGAACTATTTGCTAAGTAATAATTATATGTACCAGGGTCTCTAAAACGGTTACTATGGCAACCTGAAGCTCTAATCTGGCACTTTAAATCATAAATAGCCTCTTCAATTTCCTGACTTCACTCCTTGTAGAGTGTGGAGACATTATAAGCCTGAGAAAGTCATAACTGGGACAATGTGGTCAATGGTGGGTTAAACATCACAGTGCATTGGTTTCCACAAAATTCTCCAGCATATGATAGCTGACTATCCTCCAGAATCCACAGAAGAGAATGCTTCCTTTAGCTCTGATATTCATACCTTAAATGTCATCACAAATAAACACATTGGTTAAAAAAATGTGCCTTTAAAAACTATTTTTGAACAACTATACTTTTAGAATGTTATTGTTTTTGCTGATTTCTATGCAATATTTTGATTTAAAATTCGGTATTAATATTTCCCCAAAAGGAAAAATAATCAAACTGATTATTTATGACTCTGAAATGATTTTTCCCTCGTTTCTCAACCAAAAATAAAATTTTTCCATCCTTTCTCATTCTTTGAAAATTCTGAGAGTAACCTAGAAAAAAAGTGATGTTACACAATCTTTTTATACATTTTAAATAAAATGAACTTTTAAAATGATCCTTTATAAGGTGATTTATGACATATTATAATATGTTTCAAAACTCAAGCTGGAAATATATTGTCTCTTCCCAGCACTTTCCTGTAAAAAAAAAATCTGTTAAGACATCCAGAATGCAAACAATTCAATAAACAATGTAAAGTCCTTCCAAGTTCATTATACACATTTCATTTACTTCCTTAGTAACATTATTTAACTCCTGACATTGGTGTATAAGTTATATTTCCCCTAATATTTAAAAATAATGACAATAATATATGACAATAGAAACAAACATGCTTCTTTATTACAGGCACTTAGCAACAGAGAGAGGGCACACCCATCTTGATAGTTTGTTTCCTATCCCCACAAGAAACCTTGCTTCTTACCCCGTGATTGTAAGAGGCGGGGTTTCCGAGATGATTGCTTGAAATGGGACTGGGTGGCCTCATGATGAACATCAAAGCTCGAGGACTCCTGTATTGGATCCAGAGGCACCATCCCCCTTGCGAGCATCTCAGGTCCATGAACTTGACCTGGGACCTGAGAACAAACAGGTTGGGTTTGTGGGTAAATCACTTTTAAACAGGACTTTAAAGGAAAAGACCTTAAGTATACCAGTGGATGCAGGTGGGAGAAGGCCATGATACTTTTTAATATCCAAGCAAAGCAAGGGGAATAACCACCATTGACTACTAATACTAGTTTGTATTAATAGTAGCTTATATGTTGGTAGTTTATTATATGTGTAATATTATATATACATATATAGCTATTATATACTATATATATAGTAGCTTATATGTTAATACTAATGCTACTAATGCTAGTCTAATACTAAACTCCTAATACTAAGACTACTAATATGAGCTTTAAATCAGTAACTTTCTCTTTGCTCCAGTCTCAAAGTCCACGTGCTGCCCACACATAACAGGTTTCACCTCTTCTTACCTGCTGTCCTGATAAATCAAGCTCCAAATCTTCTAGAAGGGTCACGGCCTCCTCCCCACTATCAGGACGGTATTCCTGAAGCCAGACTTGGAGCTCCTTGGGCAAGATGGAAAGGAACTGCTCCAGCACCAGCAGCTCTAGGATCTGCTCCTTCGTGTTTATCTCTGGTCGTAACCACTGATGACAAAGTTCCTTCAGTCGACTGAGAGCCTCTCGAGGCCCAAAAGTGTTCTGATAACAGAAGTGCCTGAAACGTTGGCGGAAGATCTCTGGGTCAGGAGGAGGAGTCTCCTGCAGGCTGGAATCCTGCCCCCACATGTGGTCTTCTTCATCTTCCTCTTCTACCTTTACTATTACAATACCGTCTTTCTCCTGGGCAGCCTGTGGGGACAGACCCGTGGCTTCCCTTGATTCAGCAGTCATCATTCAGGTTCAGGGAACTGACTTGATCCAAATAGGGTCTGTGCTCTCCTTTCTGTTCTAGGAGATGTTTTCTGTATCTGTTTCTGTACTATTCCTGAAGTATTAAAAAAAGTTATTAGTACTTTTATGAAAAGTTAACGGTGCTAACACTTTGTACAAGGCTATACACCAAGGCACTAGGAATAGTTAAAAAACTCTGAATAGTTAAAAAAAAATAGTTAAATAGTTAAAAAGTTAAAAAATAGTTGAATAGTTAAAAAACTCTGAATAGTTAAAAAAAAAAAACAAACCCTCAGAGCTGTACAGTTTACACTGTCACTTTGCACATTATGGTTTGCAAACAGAAACCTCCAATGCGGGAATTCTACCCTTAGAGTGTGTTTGCCTGAGTCTGAGCACCTTATCTCCAGGATGACAATAGGTTATGACACGATGCCTTACAGTGATGGCTGAATGTTAGCTGGGTGCAAGCAACAGGCTTCTAGCAGTACACACACACTTATTTCCTCCTATAATAACTACAGCAGATTGGCACAACTGCTAGTACCATTTTTTTTTTTTTTTTTAGGCAAGGCAATCCTTGGTTGACCTCACAGATTGCAAGGACCTTTCCTTCCTTCCTTTAATAAATAGGTGATCTCTCATCCAAGTACTAACCAGGCCCGACCCTGCTTAGCTTCTGAGATCAGACGGGATCGGGCTTGTTCAGGGTAGCATAGCCGTAGACATTAGTACCATTTTATAGATGACATGACTGAGGCTTAGATAACTTATTTGCTTAGAGCAAATGGCTACCTACCTAGTGGAGTAAATTTGAAGCCCCAGACTTACTAATCTACTATCTAGCTATTTCTATTATTTTTACAGATGCCTCGCTAAGTCTAAAGGGAAGAGCAGGAGCCCCTGTTCACTCACACAGAGGGCTGCCAAGGTACCCTCATTCACTTGTTCATTTTTAGGTATTGTGATGTTTCCTGGTTTATGAGACCAGTTATATGAAATAATGGATCATTTTATCTGGCTCTGAATAATCTTACCTTCATAAGAGACAAGCACGGGGGAACAGGAAGTAGGTGAAGTGAGTGAAGGACGTCAAATGATACAAACTTCCAGTTATAAAATAAGTAAGTCCTGGATGTAATGCACAGCATGGTGACTATAGTTAATAATATTGTATTGTATATTTGAAAGTTGCTGAGAGTAGATCTTAAAAATTCTCATCACAAGAAAAATATTTTTAACTATGGTGACAGATGTTAACTAGCTTTATCGTGGTGATCATTTCACAATGTATATAAATATCAAATCATTATGTGGTACACCCGAAACTAATGTTATATGTCAATTATATCTCAAAAAAAGAAGACAAGTAGCTTTAAAGATTCTTGCAGAGAAACTACAATTACAGGAAATACTAATGACGCAAACACACATGAACAAGAAAATGGCACAGCTGAAGTTTCTATCTAGAGCAAGGTTTTACTCAGCTAGATTAGGAGGCAAAAACCAATGTTGATCTAAATCAAACAAGAAGTCAACCAATAAGTGAGAAAGTAGCTGCTTTAAAAAAAAAAAAGGAGTGTGAGGAAAGAACTATTATGAGAACAGATGTATGCTGGGAAATACTTCTACTGTTATTTTAACTGCCAAAAATGACTAAGTATCCTTATTACCTACACATTTAAAAACCTTGGAAATATTTTTTAATCTGTTTAAAAATCTCCCAAAGAATTTAGTGGGTCTTAAGCCTGTTTGTTAAAAAATCTAAAATACTTTTTGATTGGTTTGTAAGAGCAGGTGATTTAAGGTCATGGAAAATGGAAAAGCATTCCAGTTGGGTTAAGCTGGCCAAAGGGGTGATCTCTTGGATTTCAACCACAAAAATCTAATTGGCGGACAGGACCAATCGTGAGTTACTAAACAGAGTCAATGATGTATTTCCTCCATCTGAATTGACAAATCTTTGTGAAGTATCTTTTTCACCTTTACAACCATCAATATTAAGCATCAAATATAAGTTTTAGAGACAGCATTCAATTACTCTATCACAATGAGTTAGGCCAAGAGTTTTAGCAAAGCATTTTTAATCTATGGCTCTCATTAAAAAATCATTAGTAATTTTGGTGGCAAAGGGATCACGTACATTTAAAGTATAAAAGTTAATTTTAATAGTACAATTTAATGTCTTTTAATGTACTTTTTGTTCTATTATACAAAATGTTGGTATAAAACATTTATGTAATTTTTATAAATAATTTTTACTGATAGGAATATGTGACCATAAAAGTTTGGAGATGACTTTTAATCACAAAGAATATGATTTTAATCTGAGATTTATCACAGGATTAGTTTTTCTATATCATTTTTTTTCCTTAATGAAAAACAAGAATCTTATTAAAATAGCAGCCTATAATAATAAAGAATGCTACATTCAAAAATGCTTTTACATAAAAGTAAAGAGGATGAGGGAATTAAGTCATTTCACCAATGACTTTAAACTGGTAAAAGTCCTATTGCAAACCATCTTCTAGCTCTTCCCATTGATTCCTTCAGACTTGTTTCGTATCCCACCCTCCTTCCATTTCCTAAACATTTCTACATATCTACAACATGCAAGGTTTCCCGCTATACTGACTGGAATAAAGATGAGAAGCCCATTCCAATTTTTACACAAATAATTAAAGTATAAAGCAGAATGTCCCAAAAGTTCTAAGAAGGTTTCAACAGGAGCACTAGAGGAGCCCTGAGAAGTAACTGATGCGTCAACAAGGTAGCTTGTAGGAAGAGGACCCCTGGAGCTGGGGCCATCAGAACAGCCAGGACCTCTGCAGAAAAAGGCAGGGAGTAGGTAGTCCAAGAGATCATCCCTTTGGTTATCTTAACTCAACTGAAGGCTAAATAATTCCTGTCGGCCTTAGTTTATTTTTTCTTCTGAAAAGTCAAAAGAAAGACTGTCTTTTCCTGCTATATATATGTCCCACAATTATTTTCACTACCCTAAATGAAGCTTCGTATCTCCTGCCTAGTCTAGTGCCAACACCCTCCAGTACTCAGTCCCAGTTTCCCCTCACCCTTCATTTCTCATAATTCTCCCTCTCCCCTGCATGAATCTTTTCCATCCAGCAAAATGAGTCTACGCGGTATTTCATAAATATGCTTTGTATTATGATTGCCATCCTTTCCTCACATCATACTCAATGCCTACTTATCCATCAGAGCTAAGCTGAAATGCAAAAGGCCACTTGCCCCTCACTGCTGTTCAATTCAAGAAGCCTCTAGTAGGCATGATATAGTAAGAGCCAATGTTTACACAACAATCTTAAGAGGTAGGTACAATTATCACAATTTATAATGACAAAACTAAGGTTTACGGACGTTAAACAACATACCCAAGGTCACAAGCAATTAAACGGTAGAGCCAGGATTTGAAACTAGGTCTGTAGGACTCCTCAGTTCAAGCTCTAACCATCATGTCAAACTCACTCTGTCCCAACATGTGGGGTAAGAAAGGGTTTTTGTATACACAGATTCTAAGAGGAAGGCCTATGAAGGATGACCACTCAGGAATAGGAATAGGCCTCATTTGCCATCCATTATTTTCACTAGAGAGCTGTGTGACTAAGGAGACACAGCAGGAGATGCAAGCAGGGAATAATCTACAATCAGCCCAGTGGGATCTTCAATCAGGATAACTAAGCAGAACTAGTGCAGTAACTAGCCTAGCATCAGAAGACTATTTTTATGAAAATTCTATCCTGTCTCAGCTATATTAAGGAGAATAAAGGAAAAGATTCTTGATTTGTGCCCAAACCTAGATCAGAGTTTTAAAGAGTAAGATACTCTTTGGGTCAATGGGACTTAATAGGAAGAGACTCTGGAAATGAGACCTCAAGGGACAGAGACAAGGGCATGGGCACCTTCCCTTAATTTCAACAGGTCCTCTCCTCCATCCCCAACATTTCCCTGCTTCTACTCTGGATGAGAGAAAAGTCACAACAGAAGTTGCAGGGCTGGGTTTTATTTTAGGTTTCCCAGATAATGTGAGCACACAGCTTTTCTCCTCTCTCCAAACCTCTGGCCCTAATGGTCTCCACCAAGCATCTGCTATGGAAGTTCTCATGCTGTTTTTCTTTCTTGTAATTTAATTTTTCATGCCTTCCCTCCTCAACTGGACTATGGTTAACGGTATGCTTCTTTGTACTTAGACCACTTAGTTTGATTCCTTGCAAGCATTAGTTTTTAAAAAACACTTGACTGAATTTACAATGTTACTATTTTTTGCCCATTCAGACATCATTCAATGTTGCCCTCAAATTGGTTACTTGGAAGTTTCATTAAGCTGTCCCACCACTTATTGGCTGACGATTTTAGGCAAATTAATCTCTTTCTGCATGTTCCTCATCTGTACAATGGGGATAAAAACAGTATTTGCCTCACAGTTTTAAGGATTACAACTGTTAACATCCGTAAAGCACTTAAAAAGAGTGTCTGTCATTTAGTAGGCACTAGAGAAGTATTTTAATTTTTTCAATAAATTTAAGAGATGATACTGTACTTTCCAATTTTCAGCCTGCTTAAAAGATTAAGCAATAGGAGAAATCCTGCAATAATGAAAGCAGTACAGGTTGGAACATCTGAATTCTAGTTTCCCACAAATAAGTTGCACATCCCTGAGTGAGTTATTTAACCTCTCTGGCACTCAGTATCTTTATCTGTCAAACTTGGGGAGAGGAAAGAATGCAGAGGAGCAGAACACTACCTCTGGGTGCCTCTCAGCTGAATTAGATAAGATAACCCCCAACAACTGGTTCTCACCAAGAATAAATATGAACAATTTTTTTACAAAAGGGCTTGGAATTACAAGCTCAGCGTATTCTAAATGCTATTTTCTAAACAAGCCATTATCCTTCCCAGGGTGCAGTCTTCAAAGTTTAAACACCCCCCTCCCCGCCCAATTTTTGAACAAAGCTATAACCCATTTTAAAATATAAAAAAGCTACCTTTAAAAACAGCTAGCTACACAGAGAATATTGCTATCTCAAAATGAAAAAGTAAGATTTAACACTAATGTGTATTTAGATGCAATATAAAGGCATAAAAAATTTAAATGCATAGATCAAATAGAGAATAAGTAAAAGACTATGGTATCAAGCAGCTAGCTTCCCTGTTTGTATTTTAAGATTGGTGAAAACTGCCTGAAATAATGAACAAAAATCTTGCACAGTAATTCAGAGTCAATACAAACTTGGAGGAACATTCTGGGGCAAATAATCATTATGGTTCCCTATGTAATAAAGCTATTTTCATTCAGCCAGCAGTGCTTTGTTGATTGGTTTACAATAAATTCTCCACAATTCAATTCAACAAGTATTTAGTGACCACCTCCAAACCGCCTATCACTGGCCTGTACAATAAATGCTTTCTTTGGTCCCAGGCCATGTAACGGCCACTCTATAACGAAAGTATTTTATTGTGTAGGAAAGGCATTGCAAGAAAGGGAGGGCAGGGAGGTAGTAGCGTCAGGGTAAACTGTAGCTGACTTTTTCAATTACAGAGACTAAATTAAATAATTTCTAAGTTGGAAGGACCTTTTGAGAAAACCTAGTTAATTTTATTGATGACAAAACAAAAGCGAGAGTTGGTGAAATCTTTCTTATCCAAGGTCACTCAGTCTCCTAATGGCCCGGTGCAATTTCCACAAATTCCCTTCACTCTTCACTGCCAAGTCAAGCAGAGCCACTACCCAGAAGCGAAAAGTCCATCTAATCTTCCTGACAGCTCATGTCTAAAAGACTTCATAATATTCCACACAACTGAGAGAGTGGGTTCGCAACACTTCTTTTTCCACTGACTAGGCTTCAAATACTCTTTAATCACCACTCAGGGAATACGGGTGGGGTGAGAAGCAGGTGATCTGGAAACACGTATGCGGCACTTCAAAACATGTCCATTTCTCGGCCTTTCTCATTTTCCACCTCAAGGTCCTGAAGGAGCCCGAAAAAAATCTCACTGGATTCAAAGCAAATGGCGACGACGGGAGAGCAGAAAAATCAGACAAGGGTCATCGGTTCGCTAGCGAAACGTCAAATGACGATGATGACACTGCGGGCGAGGGGCCCGGAAGGAGCCCACAGCCCGCCTGCCCCCAGTCTCTGAGCACCCCCAGTCACTAGACCCTCGCCTCCTCCCCGCATGGACCCGGGGGTGGGGCGGGGACGTCTCCCTGGGGGGACGGCGCATCCTACGGCCAGGCCTGGAGACAGGGACTGGGACTCTCTTCACACTCCGCCCGGGCTGCCTGGAGGGGACCCCGGGGCCGCAGCTGCAGAGCCCACCCTCACGTACACCCCCCTGCGGCCCCGCCCGCCCTCCCCAGAGGCCGGCCCAAGTCTCACCGTGAGCACCGGGAGCGGCCTTGGGGCGCTGGGCGAGAAAGGGGAGCTGACTCTGGGGCTCAGGCCGGCCGAAGGGCGCTGCACAAGGACCTAGGCCCTCCCGACGCCTCCACACAGACACAATGAGTCACAAAGGCCGGAAGTGTGTCAGCACCTCACCTTCCGGGACTGCGCTGCGCTTCCGGGTTCTCTCTAGGAGAGCGGGAGGATTTGGCATCTCAGTTTCTGAATCGTAGACCCGGCGCTTGCGGTCGGGAAGGTGGTAAAGCGTCCACCTTTGAGGTTCTCGGCCTGTGCTTGTGCGCCCTGAATTAATACTGGGGACCGACGAGAAGGGGGTTCAGGCTTTACGAGACTGTCCAGCTCATACGCCAATTCGTATGAAAATTCGATTTCTGCTGTCTTTTCCATCTTGGGTAGTCCTTGTAATTATAGTTATTATCGAGCAATAATAATATTTGGTAATTGTATGTCTGTGGCAGAGGAACTGAAACAAAGGTGTAGACCGAGAAAGATCAAAGTGAAGTCACGGGTGGCTGGTTTCACAAAACTGCCGTGATTGCTTCTCTTGGGCCCTGGAGATGTCTGCCAATTGAGTGGCTGGTATTTTCAAATACTTGGTGGGTAGACAAAGGACGGCTTTCCACAACCAAGTTATTTCTGTGTTTTGTTTATGTGGTATATGCTGTTATAGCAGTTTAAAAGGAGTTTTCATAGTAATAACAAGACACTTTTGCCTTCAAGGTGTTTTCACAACTTATAATTATGGCCTTTACTTTTACCTGGCAAGATAAGTTGCTTCATTTTATGTGCAAGGTTAACCAAGGGCTTTAATGGTTGTGTCATAGCTCTTTGTTCCAAGACAAGTTCATGGAAAAATTGAACTCAGTAGCTTGGTTGCATGACTAAAATTGCTTGGGGGAGGTTATAGTTTTCAAATACTTGAAAACTATAAAGCAATTACAGTATCATTAAATGAAAATTCCAAAATAGAGAAAAATAATCGTGTAATTCCTCCACGTATGATGGCTTTCATTTATCCCTTTCCTCTCTGTTTTCGTATGTATTTAATACATATTTTAATTTATTATTTTAAACATAGTTCAAAACTATAGTTGTATTAGATAAGTGTCTGGTATGCTTGAAGTACCTGCCACTTTCATGCTGTATCACCACTTTTTGGACCAAAGCTGATGGGATCAGGTTTGGGCACCTGATGGAAGCACAGTTTCTTTATATGCTGACCAGTGGAACTATGGTCATGGCCTGGTCTGAGAGTTCTCATGGAACTGTAGGGAACTAAAGCAATTAGATCCCCTTTCTTGGGTATTTTAAATGTGAGATGCAGAAAACTGGGGGGCAAGCAGAAATCAGTAAGCAGAAGCCATTAGGTAATAGAAGCCATGGAAGTCAAGAGTGAGCAGAGGCTTGAGTAGAGAAAAAAACAAACCGAGCTATAGAGACAAAGACAAGCACACCACATGGCAGACTACACAGAAGGGAACCCAGTCACCTAGTAATAAGGGCCCACAGCATAATGAGGTGACAGCTTGAATAATTTTCAGGCCCCAAACAATGTTTATTCTCTGCATTGCTTGACTTTGTTGCAGATGCCATTGTGCTCTGTCCCCTTACTTCCCTGAGTGTTCTTTGAACCCCTGGCCAACAAAAGAGTCTGGTTTTGTTCCTTGCCACTGGGAAAAGCCCAATGTGATTGATGTAAAAATCATGTGTACTACTTAAAAATGCTTAATATTGTATCATTAACATCTTAAATTTTGCTTCTCCAAAGAGGTTTAATTCTTATCTTCATCCTGCAGCAAAGTTACTTGCACAAGAAGGGTGGCAAATGTCCTTCCATTGGCCTCGCTTAATTTATTGGATTACATCAGAGTCACGGCAGAATTTATTTACTTATTTGTAGCCATTTAACACTTAAAATATATCAGGGATTATGCTTGATTTTGGAGAATACAAAAGTGACATTGCACTGGTCTACAAGAAGTTTACAGTCTAGTAGGGAACATTACATCAATGTGTGAGTCAACAAAATACGAAGTGAAACGATGCATATATTCCTAGCCACATAAACAATTCTCTGGCCTGGTTGCCAGTTTCCCAGGGCAGAATTAAGGGTTCTGTGGCGCTCCTCTTCTGAAGGTTACTCTCTGCTTTTAGAAAAGAGGGTGGGAGGTAGTCTTGAGCCTGCTCCAAGGTAATCTCTGTTGCAGCTTCTCCTCTTGCTGCTTCTAAGTGTCACTGCCCACTGATGTCTTCTCTGGGCCCCCTGGCTTGGAACAGCCATTTCTTCACTTTTTGGACCTATGAAAGGTCCATAACACAAGATTGTTGTGTACAATAGATTTAATCCTCGATTTCTGAATGAGGAAGGTTATAACAGCGAAGACTGGAATCAACCTTAAAGTGAATATTCAGCATTTTTAGCCATCTCAGCCATCAGGAATTTTTCCCTGGCCAACTTTCTAATGCTTAGTCCCCTAGGCCCCCCAGTCCTCTGCTTCATCCAGATCCTTCCTTACATCTCATTTCTTCTAGAATCCTAACAATTTTTTGGAGCTTTTATTCTACTGAGTGTTGATTTCTCTTTATGTACTTCAGTCCACCCCACCCTCACCCTGCAAATGCCCACAGGGGCCAGGTAGCCAATGCCTGGGATAAATTTAATTGTTACCTGACTGTGAAGTGGGACAGTCGGTAGCTGCCCATCTGTTGAGCACATGCCCTGGCCAAGGAAGTTGCTCTTTAGGCTATTGTTGCCAAGGAGAGTGTAGACTCAGAATTACCAGAGAGGTTCATTTTTCCAAGGAGAAAAGAGAAATGGGATTTTTAGATGAAATTTCTTTATTTTTAAATGATACTCAGCAAACAAGTGGGCATACTTGCACGGGGCATGTGTGCTCTTGCACAGGGCAGGTGCACACACACACCCCCTCTGAGTTGGGAGCAGACGTGTTTGCAAGTAGGTGGTGTGTACTACCTCTTGTCTAAAGAGCCCCATGGCCAAGGGTCCTCCCCTTAAACAGGTTCCCTCAGGAGATTTCCCTAAACAAAGAGCCATCTGCCTGTGAAGTGAATGCTGATCCTCAACAATATGGAAGCACAGCTGCAATTATTTCCCTTTCAAAAAATACTCTTTTTCTTCACAGTGCATGAGGAAATTGTGCTTCATGGAAATGGGTCCACCAGGCCTTCAGTGAAGGACATTGACAGATGTGGCTAGTTGTTTTTAATTCTTGGCATCACTGCCTTAGACAACCAACCATCCCAACTCTTTGTGGCCCTCAAAGCCATGGGAAGGGTGATGACTGTGAGTGCCCACTGGCCCTGTTTGCAGGAAT